GCCCATCCATAATTGTCAATATTCCCGATCGAAACGCACAGGACAACGAGCACGTGGGGCAATGGGTTAGGGCGTTGCACTTCTAATAAATAGGTCGCGGGTTCGATATCCGAGTGTTGCTACACATGAGGTTAAGTATGACAAGCCGGAAATGACCATTCCAGTCTCCCTGGTCGTTGTCGGTAACATTATTCTACCCAGCATATTGGCCAACACGCGGCTGTTGACAGGGCTCAAGAGTGAACCCCAATACCCAACGGGACCAGTGAGTCCCGCAAAAGATCATTGAGCGCCCATCCGCCATAGGTTTAATATTCCAGCTGAAATTTGCCGAGTTTCGGGCGAAAAACAGAATTATATTCTTTTGACCGAAGCGCGCGAAAGTTATTGAAACCAGGTTTACGACGTCCAGAGCACTTGCCTGAAGACGGGCATTGTGCGCCAATCTCGGCATGTGCGGCAACGGTTTGCCAAACCCGACCATTTAACGTTCTGAATACAGGATCGGCAATACTCAGGTGAACGTCATTAGTATTCGCATCAGGCATGTGCGCGTCCCAGCGCTCATATGTACCGGCCTGGGGCTGTCTACTCACATGCTGCAACGCCTCGTTTAACCTAGACGACCGAGAGCGAAGCAGTAACATCAAATCAGTCAGAAAAGAGGTTGACGTGACAAGAAAACATTTAAAATATAGTCATTCGGAAGCAGTAATTATCTCGCCTCGGTATGACGACTGTTAGAATCACAGCCATTAGCTAAAACAGCGGGTGAACAACGACACAGTTTAAAAGGTTCATAAATACAGCCAAGCTGCCAGTATAGCACGCATTGTCCGTAAGAAAGGGCTAAAGCAATGGACCAGTGGCTTCCTAAAACAGAGACTTTCTTCGACTGATCCTCTTTGTTTTGAGCGTTTATAAACGGCACTTCCTTGTGTGCAGAAAGAGTACCGTCAAAGACAAAGGAGGCTGGGCTGACCATTTCGGGTTCATTAGCCGTTACCAACCAGCCAGTTTCAAACCCCCAAATGTGGCAAAACCCGAGGAACGAACCTGCGATCTACTGGTTAGAATTCCAACGCTTTAACCACTCAGTCACGGGCTCAACATTGGCTGTTGTCGGGACTCGAGACTGAACAGGAAAGCATAAGGGGACGAGAGAGTTACGCAAACGATCGGCGAGTGTCTGTCTATCACTGTGCATCACATGTGCAGCTCAACCTGTGCGCTCAGAAAGGACTTAAACCTAGTCTCCGAATAAGGGCTTTGATGAATTGAAGTGTACTGATTGTGGCTTCGTGTCAATATCTGAGGCGTCCTGCGAAAACTCAAATGGGAAACAAACCACTTACACGACTAAGTAGGCCTTTTCATCCGGGACAAATAACTCACGCAAGGCAGAGCATTAAAGCAGTAGAAAAATACATTCAAAGTAGAGACTTTTTGGACGGAACGAAGAGTTTTGGTCAAACATCCTCCCATCCCGATGGAAATGCGCGCCGACATAATACTTCGTATAGTGACCTACCGTTCTCCGTGAACAGCTGTCGAAATGTTGACTTAACGTTCGATTACCAGAAATGCGTGGACTCGAATCCTCGATTTATACGAAACCGCTGGCTGACAATAGGTAATAGGCGAGATACAGGCAGCCCTGGCTCCCTCGTTTTTGACATTTTTCATTTGATACAATTGCGCAGGACTGCGCGACCTCGAATCCACGACATCAAGGGGCAGGTTTGAGTATAGCCAACGTCCAAACCACCTGAGCTACGGAGCCCCACCAAGGGCCGCGAGTCTAATAGACAATCGGGTCAAGTTACTCGTTGGATGTACTCTTGCTGTCGTGAGTTCGAACTCCACTGGGAAGGCCGAGTTTTAAACAATTAGGACAAATGAAATACTAACATGGGCAAACTGAGATAAGAAGCAAAAGGAAGGCCCCTAACGCGTCAGGCAGAAGATGGAGGTCGAAAGGGGGGGGTGGGTTGGGCTGGACGTACATGAACTGGCACTTCTTCTGGCGGGTAGCAAAACAGTAGGTAGCACAATTGGGCTTGCAATGAACGATCTGGGACCTTCTGACACGACTGGCGAGTTCCATGACGTTTGAATGAAAGTCGCCTGTGAAGACAGATTGGAGAAAGCGACCTGATTTGCAGGCAGCGACGAGTGTGGGATGCAGGCCAATGTCTCCGAAATGTTTTCGACTGTAGCCTGTGGTCTCCTCCTTTTATAGGCCTGCGCAAGAAGTCTTTCCTCAAACTGCGGATCGATTCTCCAGAAACAACCCTTGCCGGGTTCATAGGGGTTTCGGGGGGCCTGAAATAAGCATGGCAAAAATATTCTCATTTATGGTTTCCTCCTTCAAATAAAAAAGTAAAACCACTCTGGGTGGCGGGATATTCAAGTTTGGAAGAGAGGGAATAATGCTCGCCGACCAGGTTATAGGACAAGCATGTCGAGCAACTAGACCAGCATGCTTCTTAACCTGGTTGCTGAACGCGCTTCAACTACAATTAACATTCCTGATTGCAAAAGACAAGATCGGGGGCCTATGACCCAAGGGGAGAGTGCTGGATTTAACAAAACGCCATAAAAAAAGGAGGCGGGTTTGCCAGAAAAGGCATAGTAGTTTTAAGGAGGAAACTTTCTTCTGGCCTGCAGAAAATTTTCGCTGAAGTTTGTATCTGAGAATTTAGTTTCAGGTAAATTAGCAGCCGCCAGACACGTAGTAACATCTAAACGTTCATCTGGCCTGATCATTGACTAACGGATCTGTTAGACTCAATGCCCAATGATCAGGCGCCAAGGGGTTGGACGTGACTAGCTGACGAT